TACTTGAATTTTTCTCATAATACATTTTTTATCTTAAATTTAAATTGATCTTAATGGATTTTTTAATTAAAATTAACTGTATTGTCCATTTTACTAGAATTTTAAATAAACATATCAATTTAACATTATTTGATTACAAAGTACAAAAAAATATTGTTTAAAATTATCTTTATTTTCTCTCTTTTAAGTCAAGTGTCTTTTGGTACATTTTATTTTTATGCGGTTTCAAAGACCTTGATTAGTCCGATTTTAAACAATTACCCGCACTATGCGAGGTATTACTGTATATAAATTCGGTTAAGTTGATTGCTTTTTAATAATCATACACTTGTGTATGAAACTGTTTAATTTTTGCAATAAAAAGTACTATTAGTAATACTAATTTAGTGATACTATATTAATAAATTACAAGACTTTTCGAACCTCCAACAATATTATTTTGTTATCTTGTTATACTAGAATTTTTCTCATGATCCATTTTTTAATGAAATTGAACTTATTAGTTTTTTAAATTAAAAATCACTAATTAATTTTTCTCTTTTATAGAGTCCAGTTTATTTTGATGGAGCTTATTTTTATGCGATTTTAAAGTCCTCATTTAGTCCGTTTTAAACAGTCCGCTATATTGGCTGAACCGATTACCAGCACTATTCGAGGTATTTTTGTATGTTAATTTGGTTTCTTTGATTAGTTTCTATATTAATCATTTACTTTTTATAATCCTGTATAATACACAACGAAACTTCCCATTAAATTGTGATATAAACGATACATTTTTATCTATTTTTTAGATAATTTTTATTAAATCTTATTATTAAACTTCACTATATTATCCATTTTACTGCAATTTTAATTTAAAAACATATCAATTTATTTGCAAATGAAGTGGAGAGTGATAAAGTTTGACAAGTGTTACGCGGTATTTAAGAGTCGAATGAGCAACAGAGTTATAAATCGATGTCTTGCTGTTCACACTGACAATCTATTTTCGTATAAATAGTAGATAAATTTTGTCGGAACGACGACGAACATATTATTACTTACTACACATGTATTCTGAATAAAGGAACCAATTACGTCGCCCGGGTTTTATGTAAGTCGGCATAATGATAATAACGTTTTCATAAGGTCCCAAGAGCATAATTTAGCTGTTAAGGAAAGAGTTTCAACGAGTCCGGACTTTCATTAATTCATCTCGAATGCCGACCTTAGCCGCGGGTTGGGACGGTGCCATTGTCTTACTTTATGATTATTTTCATTCAGAGCAATTGGCCATCGGGAACTTTTCAACACCGCAAGAAAGGGAAATCGACTGAGCGGCATATCCTTCACGTGTACTCATTAAAATCCATTAACATCAGGTCACTTTACTACTATTCCATATAGAACTCGCTGCGAGCTACACCTAATTTATGTATTACATGTAAATATTTACCGTTTATTTCATAGATTCTCAGGTAATTAACATTTAGATAAACACAATAAAATCATTCATTTAATACATATTATTTGAATATAAAACACTTTGTTTGTATATTTTCAAACGAACGTTATTAATTATCTGAAAAACTATGATGTAACATATATATTTTCAGATAATTAACGTTTAGAATAACACGATAAAATATGAGTTTAATATAAATAATTTAAAACTAACTATATTTTTGGGAACTATATTATTTATTTAAAAAAGAATACTTATGAGTTATGTGGACTTAATAAATACAATCAAATTATTGATTTACATGTATAATTATAAACACTTTGCATTTTGTTTTTTAAAAAGTTTGTTATGTAATAAATTTAAATATTTTACATTGTGTCACAGCTTTGTAAGCAATAAACATAACAGAATTAATAAGTTTTTTTTTTAATTATTTTTCGTTTCTACAATAAAGTAAACGTATTGATTCAAATAACATGAAGTTATGTAATTACAAAATATGTAATTTTATATATGGTTGAGAGTGGAACAAAAACGGTTTCTAGTGTGAGGACGATCCATTCTCTGCGTGTGTCCTCGATTAATGGGCCTGATTAGGAGGTTTTCTCTTAACTTTCTGGACTGCCGATCCTTATTTCTTTTCGGTCTTGTTAATAATTTACAACTTTCCGACTGCGTATCACCTGCGCAAGGTGTCCAAAGCAGCGCGTTATCCTTATTCCTTCGGACGTCACGACTGGCCACGTGCATTCCGAATTATCCACTTCCGCGCCGATTATGTCACGCATTAATTGACTTCCTATGGGGCGCGTGTCCACGGGGGTGCGTGAAAATAATCATTCGAAAAATCCAACCATCCCCAATTGCGCGCAATTTCCTGCCGCGAAACTACGAGAGCGTAAAACTCGACGTTTTTTCGTTTGTTATTCCACTACCCTCAGAAAAGGGTTTTTGTTGTTTTTTTTCGTGATTTTATTCAAAACCGTCACGGTTTCATGAAACCATTGTTTTGAAATTTCGTTTATTATTCATGTATGTTAAAATCCGTTACTTTATAGAAAAGTAAATAGGGGATTTTTGATGATATATGCATTTACTTGTAGACTACCCTTACATATACCAGAAAATCATTTAACTGTGACATCATTGACGTGACATAATTTGAAAAAAAGCATAACAATTATATAATAACTGAAAATATACATATTTAATAGTAAAATAAATACCTAGCATAGTGCGGCTTCGATTAGTGCGGATTAACGGGTTGAAAATTTCAAAATAAATTAATTGACAAAATAAAAATATATTCTAAAAAAATTGTTCACAAAATTATTTTTCTTTATATAGAAATAATCTTCTTTCCTCTTTTATTTTTTTTTTGCAGTTTATGCGGTTTTAAAGTATATTTAGTTTATTTGCTTACTTTCTTATAATTATTAATTTTTAAAAACTATTATGACATAAGAAAATTCATTCATGGAAGTAAGAAATTTTACAAATAGAAGAATTCAGTTTTATTAATAACAGGTCTAAACTAAATATCTTTAATTTACAAATTTTAATGTAAATTCGACTTAAGATTAAGACTTTATCTTCTTTAATTTTTCATGATTGAAAAAATAAATCTATTGAAAGTTTTGTATTCAATTTATAGATTTAATTTTTCTGAAAAAATATTGTATTTTTAGATGTTTGTACTGGTTTAATCGAAGCCAGTCACAAGTATAGCAATTTGATTGATATATTTCTAAAAGAAAGTCTTTTGTGATCATAAATCTATTTTGCTGTGGAAGGTGTCTGCAAACTCGACGGACCGTTACGGGTCCATGGGGAGAATTGTGATATTTAGAAGAATAAAATTAAGAGCATTAAAGCTCCCCCTCGGATGGTCGTATTGTTTGCAGATTAGTGCATCCAAAATCCGCGCGAACAAATAAACCTCCCCCAGACGAGAACGATATAAATTCTCGATTTCCGTCCACCAAATAATCAATTTTCCATCGAAGGGTTCGGAAAGTAAATAAAATCTGTGCAAACATTAGATTTTTCAAACATTACACGTTAATAAATAAAAAAAATGGAAGATTAAATATCTCGCATAGTGCGGCTTCGATCAGTACAGATTTACGGTTTGAAAATTTCAAAACAAACTAAATTTTTATTGAGTAAAATAAAAACAAACACACACCTTTTTTGTATATATAAATGGTCGATATTTCTTTTATACAGACTTGTTTCAATTTGTGCTGTTTATGTTTATGTGGTATTAAAGTCCTCGATTAGTCCGGTTTCAAACTATATTGAGGAACGAATTATTCGCACTATGCGATTGTTGTATTGAGTTTTGATTTTAGCTAGAACAATTCTGTCAATTGCGTGAATAATAGTTCTGGAACTTTTTCTATAAGTTGAGCAATTTTATATAATTTTGATAAATTTATTCTGAATGTGTGAATAACTATATTTCTGTGAATACAATTGAAACATGATGTTGTGAAAAATCAAACGTGACGTAAATTGAAATTGTGACTTGTTTAATTGGTTAAAACTTCGTTTTAAAAGTTGTCCAAGGTTAAATATTGGAATGTAATTAGAGCAAGTGATCTTCATCCACTTGGATTTTCTCTCGAAGATGACTGGTAATATTTCGAAAAAGTAAATGAAGAAAAGAAAGGTCCCTTGAAATATTGCAATTAAAATATTAACCGCGTTGCGAAAATCGAGCGAGATGAGGAGAAAAACGAGAGACACGGAGTTATTACGAGCTGTTATTGTTTATAGATGGACTTGTTTTCGGTCCACGACAGACATTTAAAAGTATTAATTGTCTGCGCTTATTAGGGGGAAGAAAAAGTGTTGACCCAGATGCGTTTTTTACTTTTTTCAAAAAAATAAAATAAATTATAATGTCGAAGTCTTAAAAGAGTTTTAGTAGCGAATAATTGAATGTAATTGCCTGCATTGCAAGAGGCCCGTGCATAATTACGGGAACGGAAAGCGACCAAAAACGGGCGAGACGAGTAACGAGCTTCAAAAAATCAATTATTTCACACTTTACTTGTAAATGCGGGTTAATTGAAAAGTTTTATTGCCAGGCCACAACAACCCGAAGCTAAGAAGAAATCAACCAATTTCCGGTGATCTCTTTCCTCTCGCGTACAACGAACACTGTGCAAATCGCCAAATTGGAACGAAGTTTACGCTTTAATTCGTTCAAATAGTTCATGAATAATTTCAAGAAATGCTTCTTGGATTTTTAAGAGCGAGATATAAAGTGTCCACGACTGTGGCGACCTCTGTTCTTGAGTGACCCAAGGTGATGCAGCATCCAGGCAACCCAATCTCCACACAATATACTCTAATCTCTAATCATTGAAATCGATGCATTTAAAAATTTGAAATTTATAACTTACTTAAAACATTGTTTTGATTTATTAAAAATGCACCATTCAATTTAAATTGCTTCCGTGATCGTGCTAGTCATGGTTTATAGAGAATGCAATGAAAAGAATAACAAATATCGGAAAAATAAAATCTACGCAGACAATCGCTCATAATTTACCATATTTTAGGACGGTATAAAGGGTGATGGTATTGGAACTGTAGATGCATTCAGTTCACACACCGCTTTGTGTGAACTAACTGAAAGTAGGTTTTTAAAGTTTAATATTTGTGAATATTCGTGAATAACCTTTTTTTCTTTTGGTTTGTGCAGAAGATGACTGCTTCGACAAAGGTATCCGCCGCTTCGGCGGATAGTAACACCATTTACTTCCTACTCTTCATCTTTGGATTTCTCTTCGTTTACACCTATGGCAGGAAATTCTTCAGGCAAATCCAGTTGGCTTCCAAAATTCCTGGACCATCCACTAAAACTATGGTCCTTACAAGTTTTAAAACCATCCACGCTGAACCCGTTGGTAAGTAAAACCATACAAGTTGAGTATGTATAGAAATTAAGTATCAACTGTTACAGATATGTACAAATTGGCTATTAAAATGAGGGAAGGTTACGATGATATCGTCAAGGCTTGGTTCGGACCTAGACTCATCATTTTCTTGTACCACCCAGCTGATGTTGAAGTAAGTATATCTTATGCAAATAAACAAATTGTGTAATAATTTACTATTTTTAATTATTAGACCATCCTCAGCAGCTCTGTACACATCGACAAGTCCACAGAATATTCCGTCTTCAAACCATGGTTTGGAAACGGATTACTTATTAGCACTGGTATATAATTTTTAATAATTAACTAATTATAATTTACTTAATGCAATTGATTGATTTAACGTCACCATAATAGTAATTAATTTTGACATTGATGTTGTTTTGACTTTTGAGCAGTGAAAATTAAAACAAATGGCAAATCACAATTTGCACAGGAAATGACTATTAAAAACGCATGAAAATGTATAGAATCATTGTTTCCTGCAAAAACAAAACAACTAAATTTATTAGATTACGTTCCAAAATAGCAAACTCATTTCTATTCAAATAAGTATTTATTTGAATTAATTATTCCATCTAATTGTCATTGGTTCGTGTGTGTAAACAGGGGCCAAATGGAAGCACCACAGGAAAATGATTGCGCCCACTTTCCATCAAAGTATCTTGAAGAACTTCATCCCGACTTTCTACCAAAACAGCTTGAAGGTTGTGGAGAAGATGAAGAAAGAAATCGGCCACACTTTCGATTGTCACGAGTACATGAGCGGAACCACCGTTGATATCCTTTTGGGTAATTACTTATATATTTGAATTAAAATTAATATGTAATGAATTCTTTGTTATATAGAAACTGCTATGGGATACAAGGAGCCACGTAGCGAAGAGACCGGTTTTAACTATGCTATGGCTGTGATGAAGCTGTGCGACATCTTGCACAGACGCCATTACAAAGTTTGGTTGAAGCCCGAGTACATTTTCCAAAAGACAAAGATGGCCATCGATCATAGCAAGTTATTGAAGGTCATCATGAATTTGACGACTCGCGTAGTGAAGAGCAAGAAGACCGAATATGTCAAGAAGATGGCAAGCGGAGATAGTTCTTTCGAGAAGGTGGAGAAGGTTGAAAAGCAGGAGGAAGATGTCGTTGAAGATTCGGGTTTCAGATACGTGCGTGATGATTTGGATGAAATCGATGATAATGATGTTGGAGAGAAGAAACGTTTGGCTTTCTTGGATCAGCTGACTGCCAATGCTCAGCGTGAAGATGTCGATTTCACTGAGAAGGAAGTTTTGGATCAAGTGAACACCATTATGTTTGAAGGTCATGACACCACCGCTGCTGGTTCCAGTTTTGCCCTGTGCTTAATGGGAATCCATAAGGACGTTCAAGAGAAAGTCCATCAGGAGATTGAGGAAATATTCCAGAAATCTGACCGTCCATGCACCTTCGCCGATACTTTGGAAATGAAGTACTTGGAGCGTGTGATCATGGAAACTTTGAGGATGTACCCACCAGTACCAATCATCGCTAGATTGTTGCAAGAAGAAGTCAAATTAAGCTCCGGTGATTACACTCTGCCAATTGGCGCCACTGTCGTCGTTGCTCAAGCACTTCTGCACAGAAGACCCGACTCTTTCCCGAACCCTGATGTCTTCAATCCTGATAACTTCTTGCCAGAGAGATGCCAGGAGAGACATTACTACAGCTACGTTCCATTCAGCGCTGGTCCAAGGAGTTGCGTTGGTATGTATTTTTAATAATTTACTATAATTGTTTGTTATTTATATTGCGTTTTGTGTAATGTAGGTAGGAAATACGCTATGCTTAAGCTGAAGGTTCTCCTCTCGACCATCGTGAGGAATTACAGAATTCATTCGGACGTGACCGAGGCTGATTTCAACCTGCAAGGTGATATTATCCTTAAGATTTCCGGAGGATTCAACATTCGTCTCGAGCCTAGAGCCAAGGTTCACTAGATGGAGCAAACGGATTTATCGAAGGAACAGACGGGGTTCGAGTCCGCACTAGCCGACCCGTCCCGCCATCTACCCCACTAACCCTCTTACTAAAACGTACTTAATTTATTCGAATTAGCGGTGATTGGATCAACCCCGTAACCCTCCAGCCCCGATTAATGTTAGCCCGAATAATTCAACTGCAAATGGAAATGAAATTGTATATATGGGAAATATATGTAGATTACCATGTTGGTTTTTAAAATAAATGAGCAATTTCGTGGCGCACATTCGAGAAGACATTCCAAAACCCGAAACTTAATTAGACATCACTAACAGACACGCACATTCCGCTTTTTATACGACTAGCAGATTTGCATCCACCGTTCGTTTTGTTTCTGATGCTGAAAAGGGGGGTGGAAATGAGGACGCATCGGGGAAGCAGGGCACGTAGCCAACTTTTCTCCGTTACGGCTTTCGAATCAGTTTTAATTTGCCATTGTTGAGAATGCAAAACAGCCGACCCACACCTCTTGCCTTGCAACGGAAGATTATTATTAACAATGACATTAATGTTGTCGGAGGTTGCTACGGCCAAGAATGTGAATAGAGGCGGTTGAAGGCGGCAAAGCGGTATTTACGGGATAAACACCACACCATTCTTGTTAACCGCCGCTCTAATGAACTTTAAGTTATTACATTATTAACCAACTATCCTTCATTATAGAGTTTCACATTCTCAGCCGTAAAAAACAAATATCTTGATTACTTAATACTTCAAATTTGTCAATAAATTTGATGATCAATTCTTCAAATTAATACTAATATGGTAATATGTAATAATGACGTAATGTATTATTTAAACATACATACAAGTTGTCAACAGGCCTGATCCGGCCTTTTACTAAATTGATCCGGCTCTGATCCATCTCATGAAAGTCGTATTGTGCATTTAAATTATCAAATTAAAATTTCCATAAAATTATAAAAATTTCACATAAAAACTACAACATAGTTTATAGATTGAGTAATCATGCAAATATTTACGCATATTACTACTAGGATTTATTTCTCAATTTATAAAAGTCATCAAGTTACATTTATCTTCATTGTTTAAAACGAAACTTTGTTGATAAATTTTCATCAAATCCAAGTTTTGTGGGATTTTATGTGAATAGATTTACATTCAAATTGATTACAAATAATATCTAAAAATAGTAAATTTTACAAAACTGCAGATTCTTATTATGAATGTAAGCTGTGTCATCACTATCCGCGTCAACTTTTTATTTTTTCTCACTTTTCCGCAGCTCTTGCTATAATTAAATATTAATAATTATGAAGAAAAGAGGGTCGAAGCGAAAGCAATGAGCCGAAATGTAATTGTTTTGTGTGACTTAAGGCCCACCGTTTCGGATGCCGAAGGATTGGTCCCGTGTATATTATTCGTATATATATATAGATGTAAGTAAGTATCCCGAGCGACGAGGGCGTCCTTTGTTTGAGAGGGACTAAAATTAAATTCCCCTTTGAATGGAAAATTCAATTCATTCAGTTCGGTTGTTGGCGAACGCCGGAGGGCGTTGTAGGAGAAATATAAGAAAAAGAAAAGAGAATTGTATATACACACTCAAAAAAAAATAAGTACATAGCTGTGTAAGAATGAGATGAGGATAAACATGGTCAGAGCATGAACAATAGCGAAATGTCAATATTGTAGTAATTCTCAACCAATTCAGTTTTCGTTTTTAAGTTTAAATAGTTTATATTTAAAATCCGTTAAAATAATAAAGTTTGCTACAGAAATGAGTATTAATTAAAAATATAGTTTCAAATAAATATCTTTTTGAAATATGTTATTATACTGGTATAAGTCCACTAGAAGCTAAAAACGTTTATATTCTTTAACAATTTTAATAATTATAATTGACTAATAAAATTTAACAGTTTTAAAAACATCACACGAATTGATTAGCGTCTGACGAAATTTTTAAATCGATTCAAACGCAAATATTGTTTGCCAAACGAATTCCGATTTCGTGTTTTTGATATTTAATTCGATAGCCGAAAGAAAATTAATTTCATTTCGAAGGGGTGGAAAAGCAGAGGCTCCTCAAAACGATCTTCGGTTCCAGAGGAAACACATCAAACTGAAGGAAAGAGAGAGAGAAAGAAAGAGAAAGAAAGAGAGAGAGCAAAAATTGGGGGTGAGAATTAATTCCACTCTATTGATGGAAAACTGATTCAATTTCGATTAAGCCCTTTCGCCCTCCTGTGCGATTTGTAAACCCCGTCGACTTATGATTGACACGCGTCGATCCATTCCGATAGTAGAAAATTGTTTTTCGCGCCAATCACCAACGTCCCCCTCCCCCACCGCCGAAAACTACAATTGCAACTTTTCACCATTTTACACCCTCCGCCAACCCCTAAACAACAGATATTAATTCTCCCTCCGGTTTGCTTCATTATCATACCCGTAATTTTATACACGACACGAGCTTCATCAATCTTCACGAACTCCGCGATTTATCAGTCGAAATAATTGCTCCCCCTCTTTGCACACATTTTATTTCCAAAGCTGAAACAAAACAAAAAACACGCATTAATGAACGTATTATGGCTTTGATTTGCGGCGATCGCAAATATTCGTTCGAATAAAAAGCCAAAAAAAAGGTACACAAAAATAAATGAACGAAAAACGCGTTAGCCATTGTTATTTTAACTCTGTTGTGTTTTTATTTGCTCCCAATGTATGAAAAAAAATAACAGAAACATAACAAAAAAACTAGCGGCGCAGCTGAACCGTAAAGTATTATTTAATTCGATTTTAATCCGTGGAAAAATTTAAACGTCGAATGGTAAATTTTTGTATGTACAAAAAATATACAATAGTAAACGTTGTGGTAATTATTATTTGAATAGACTCGTGAACAAAATGCGAATGATACTGAATACATGGATGGAATTAATATGTACTTTTGTATTGGACTGAAATTGGTTTGGTGGATGCGCCGGTTTTTGTTTTAATTTACAGATTTCAAATACTAAAATGCAATTCATGTTTTTTAATTTAAAGAGTAAATTTTATTTATTTTCCTTTATTAATCTATTAATTTAAATATAAAATAATTATATTATTTTGAATTGTTTCCATATATTCATTAAATAAAATAATTTTATACAATTAATTGATGTAAATTAATTGTAACAATTTCTATTTTATTTTCTCTTCAAAGAAAATTTTCTGATTTAAACTTTTAATTATTATAAATGAATGTACTTTTTTAATTAATTATTATATTGAAATAAAATGTTTAAAAATATTTGAAGTATAATTTATTTAAAATATAGATTTTGCATATCAAATTCTAATTTTCAATGAATTGTGTTAAAATCAATAGAAAAAATAAACTTTTGCAAGTATAATATTAGGCAGTATTATCGGTAAGCAATCGTTTCATTCAATTGGGATGTTCATGCTAGAATTAACGTAACAGGGTTGAATATATTTATCTCCAAAAGTCCCCAAACCCACTCATGTATATTTCGATAAATATATGTGTGTTTCACAACATCAACATCGTTCCATCCCTTCCAACCCTTTGATAATACCAAAGTTTATTGTCTTGCAGAGGATACGCAACTGGAGATAAACATCGTAAGTAAATCTTGCACATTAATATATATATATATATATATATCATAGTCATAGTGATTATACATAATAATCCAATTTTAAATAATAACTTCATTTCTAGGTGAAATTTTTGAAAAAAAAGATTTCCTTCTAATTTTAACTAAAAAAACGACAATAGAGTTTTTTTTTAATTTATTTTTATTTCTTATAAACATTAAGTTTTTTTTTTACAAATATACATTAAAAAATTTAATTTTGTATCGTATCATCTTGAATGTGTGTATTTTATTGATTTTCTCTAAGAAGTTCTTCACATGTAGATTCAGTTTGTTACCATATAACCTTCGAGACATAAAAATTATATTTTTGTATAAATTTTAGTATTGATTTCATCTTTGTAAGTATCTACAACAATATTGGTGTGTGAATACATTGGACTTTAAACGTTTTGCAAAATTCATCGACCTTGTGTTTTGTATCTTTATTTTTATATTTGGAGACAGTATGGTTACTTTCTCCAAAGTATTGATACCTTATTGCCAAGTTGGTGGTGCTTGTTTCAGCTATGATATGCTCCACACTTATTGCAAGTTTGATGTTTTTTTTTGCAGTCATTGTTCGATGATCATATGTCTTGTGTTTACTAATTTTTATCAAATGAACAAATAAAATACAAGAAAATTAATTTTCAGAACTTTAATATCAATAAACTTTGATATTATAAAGTATAATAAAGTTATAATTTTGTAAATTTTAAATTGTATGTGAAGCTTTAGTTTAAATCCATGGGCTAAATATATCTCAATTATATTGTGTAATAAGGCATGTTATATATAGGCTTTATAATAAAAAAAAAGAAAACAGAAGTGGTAAATAGGCAATTACAATGGTAATTATACCGTCTCAGGGCTGCGTTATCTTCTGGAAAATGTTAAAAAAAGGATGCCAGCTTATTTAACTGAGCTGCCGCCTCCATTGGTCCTCCAATTAAATAAAATGGTGCATTTATCCTCTTTTGCGTGTAGAACCTATAAGAATTGGCTCCTCTTCGAATGCCGACGTGAGGGATCGATATGGACCTAAAGATGAGAAGTTTTGCATGCTGTGTACGCACCGCACCGAAAACCTTCTCTATACACATACATGGAGCGCACAACCATTGTCATTCAAAACGTAATCATTTCCCATTTGGATCCTTTCTTACGTAAATAGAAATATGAATGGATTTCAATGCGTAATACACCCGACGCATCCATCAAATAAAACGGACGGACGAACGAAACTTTCGCGCCGACCCCGAATTAAGTAAAACGTTTAATTAATTTATGCAGGATACGGCCGCGATGGTAAGATGAGACAAGGATACAAGAGAAGAAAAAAGTGTGTATATATAGATGTGAACGTCCTTCATTAAAGAGATTTGGCATAATGGCATAATAAACTCTGATTCGGTTGGGTCTGGGTTGGGTGGCGCGAGACATGGGCTCTAAATTCTGTTGTGTCGGTTGGTTTGGCGGTAGTTTTTTTCACTACATAAACTTCAAATTAACCCTCAGACAAGAACTCCTCAGAAGGTGGAACAGTGCCGATGCCGATATTTATGCCCGCTCCGGAGGATCGCTGTGAGTTTGATTAACTAAACGTGTAA